AAGGTGATGTACAGATTGTCCTTGAGCCCACATTCCAGGATTGGAGAAACTGCTAAAAAGCTGCTGTAAAGATATCGAACGATCTCCCATCTTCATTGTGACGGGGTCTATCAATGAGCATCCAATTTATTTCCAATTCCCCGACTCTTCACATCGATTTGTACATTTCCTGTATCGCAGATTCTTTGGAATTCATGATTCTCTTATCTCCCAGAGTCGTAATGTATGACCGGCCGCGGCCCTATCTGTGTCGCTGTACTCAAACCGCTGTACATCTCACTCCGGGAACCCCGAAATTTTGACAGATACCAAGATATTTAACGATATCAGGCGTTAGATTGCTGTGGAGGCTCTAATTGTAAGTACATACTTGTTCGCTGCGGATTAAAAGGCGTATCAGGCGGGATGCGCAGCGCCAAACCCGGGTTCCTCCAGTTTTTGAAGCGGGTAAAAGGCAATAATTGGTGGAAAAGACTGATACGAAAGATATTATTCAATCTTGCCGCCGCGCTATACTCATCTCGCCTGATACGCCCTTGATACGTAACGAACAACGCTACATAAATTCCTGTGTCACCAGTGGTATTTAGTACCCACGTATTACTCGGTAAACAGCTAAAAACAAGCATTGTCTAGAAGTAAATTTTTTATTCTCCTATTTAATCTGGCAGCAATAAATACGGAAGGCATATAGCGATTTTAGCATGGGAATACTTCACCCGAAACAATAAACAAGTTCACCAGTTTGCTAGTAACAATATCACCGAGAACGAGTTCCGCGCGAATCTTCATCGCTGAAAGAGAGAGAACGTAGAGGAACGAGAGAATAGCCAAAGTTATACAAACTCACTAAGGCTCCTAAAGCTCTCAACTTGCTTCTACATTGCTCTAATTCACGTTGCGTTACGACCAGTTGTGACGCCAGCTCAGCCTCGGAAGTTCGAGATTTCTCCAAGTCCATAACTAGCTTTGCCTTTTCAGTGACTGAATACTTTCAACTTCGTAAAAGACACTAGAATGAGACGAGTTTTGGAAATTTTGTCTAATAATGTTAACTCTCGATGAGTCAGAAGAATACAGTGGTGGGGGCGAAATGAAGACTAAGGCAAACCTTCAGTGTCACGGAAGAGTTCCACCAACTTCCTATACTTTATACGGTATTTTTCAAGTTCTGCTTGTGCGGATTGCGCTTTCTGAATATAACAGTAGAGGAGTTCTATGTTAACATCTTAGGCTGCGTTCATACTATGGGTCAGCATTTTGACGGTAGCGTGTGCCAGCGTTACGCGTGTTTGGAAAGTATAACAGATATGGAATTGGCGTTTTGAGCGTACAGCAGCGTCTTTAGTGACTGCCCGCGGTTCAAAATTACCCGCGAAAACACTGGCATATGCTGGCATACGCCAAATCGATACCTACACTTTCCTAATCGATGATGTTGAGGAATGATAGTAGTAGTTTACACTAAATGTAAGATAGTAGTACTGGGCGATACCAGATCATTCCTGTATAAAAGACTGTTTGTCGAGTATGGTTCACTTTTCGTTCGGCTTTCGCTTGGACTCAATAAACGACTACGCTGCATCCGGTTTCGATACAGAACAGATGAAAACGCTCGGAACGCTGCAGTACGCTCGAAAGCTCAAAACGCTGACGCTAAGTATGAACGAAGCCTTGGCACGACACCTTACCTCGTTTGCTTTTAACATTTCTTCCACTGCTTCAGTAAGCTTGCTTCTATACAACGCAATAACGAGAGGATCAGCATCCTAAATAAAGCAATAATGGCAAAAATAACGCGTGAAAAGAGACAGCCATACCTTATCGCCTCCAGAAGATGACTTCGTGGTCTGTTTTCGAGACTCTTCATCGATTGAAGCGAGTATTTTATCGATCATAGAAGGACTCTGCTCTTCCTTAACAATTTCACTCACTAATAGAAACACGGCGCTAACGTAGTTTAGCGGGTGGGGGATGGGGTGGGGGAAGAGGAGGCCAGATACTAATGCGAGCTCCCCCTTCACGTTACCGCCGGAAAACCACCACATGTACATGTACATCACAGGTAAGTGTGAGTCTCAGACAAAACTCAACGCTCGAGCCAGCCAAGACTGACATTTAGACTTATTTTTCACCCGGCTAGTATGCTAATGGTTATACCATCGGGCTGCCCTTCTCTCTCTCACTGAAGCCTGCTGAAGCACTGGGGCAAAATCCACTAAGCTCAGAGGGCGTAAGACAGCCCTGGTGGTGTAATGGATGACATACTAGCTCGGTAAGCGTGAGGTGCGGCTTCGAAACTCAGCTGGGCCAGGTCTTTCGCTTCAAGCTCCACATTCTGCACAATGAGCTCCGGAAAGCGAATTGCGGTGAAAAACAACAGTTATCATAGCAAACCGAATAGACCTTTTTACGACCTATCCAAGCAAATAGCAAGCTGCTTACTTTGACTTCCACAGGAGGAGCAGGAGGAGGAGTGGCCTTCTCGGGACTCGGTGTTTTATTTTGTTTGGCAGCCATCTGAGAACTTTCTCTCAAAGCCTGCTTCAGATCCTAAACACCAAATAGCAGGAGATCCAGGCTGTTAGTGCTGGTGCCTTTTTTCTGAGTTACTTAAAGGTGCGTTCATACTTCGGTTATACTTTATGTCCCCCAGTAACCGGTGGCGTCCACCAGTGTTTCGAGCGTACTCCAGTGACGAGGAAAGTATAGATATCGATCTAGTCCACAAGGGTACAGCCGCGTTTTCGCGGGCACTTTTGAATTTGAGCAAAACTACCCGTGAAACGCTGCTGTAGGATGGTGGACGCTGGCGCTCGCTAGATCGATATTTATCTATCTAGGCGTTGGTTTACGCTCGAAACACTGGTGGACGCTGACTCAAAGTATGAACGCAGCCTAATGCGAACGGTTCTATGCTAACCTCGCGATATTTTTGCTCTGAAGCATAATTCTCGTCGACTCCTTGCACGACTAATCCCGTTGTTGGATCCACAACCTGGAACAATAAGAGAACATTATTATTAAGCAGAGTATTAGAATGCCGCAGCCAGAGATCGTCTACCTTCTCCTTATTTCCCTTCTTCGCTTTTGGCCTCTTCTCAATGGCGTGAACTACAAGCTTTCCGCCATTCTTCACTTTTGGACCGCCCATTCTTGAAAAATAATGTTGGTATTTAATGGCACGCTCAGCGTTCATCTGAGGCTCAGACACCTTGGTTGAATAAGGTAGTCCTGTCCGCGGGCATGGAGGATGTACTACTTTCGCAGCTCGAAAATACGTGAAAAATCGCGACACGCCACGGTTCCGCCCACTGACCACGGCAGCGCCCGACTTTCTTTATTGAAGCTTACTGGTGATGCGGTTGTTTCGCTACTGACTAACTAATCTCACCACTCCAAATCTCAGGGTGAAAGGAGGGTCAATAAGCGAGAAAGAAGCCATGGCACCCAACAATTTAAAACTTCGTCCTGACCAACGCCTCCATTGCCTTTCTTCCACTAGTGAGTATAATGACCGCTCGTCCATTGGTACTTTGACGTCGGCACAACTCAAGCACTTTTGAACGACCGGGCGTGGCCTTTAAATTCTCCATGTCTTGAAAACTAAGGCATATAGAACACACTAATGTAATTACGCGTACGCCATTCTGACCACCATTACTCTTCGAGGCAGCCTTTGTTAATTGGTACACTCGGTGAATTCCTCATGCGGAATCATCATCAATGTTTGAGAGGCATGCAAAACTTTGAAAAGCGAGGACTACCTCCAATGCTGAAAAATGTAAAATTATAAAGCAATCAGGCTCGAAGCATTCATAGCAACATCAACATATCAAATCTTCCAATAATTTCCACCTGATGTGAGGTCTTCTAGAGACAAGAGACGGGAGGGAAGATGAAGGGAGAAAGAGGAAGAGAGAGCAGCAGCAGAAGAACGAGAGATGAGAGAGAGAAGAGAGGAGGGAAGGGAAAGAGCAGGAGAGCGATTAAAACTAAGAGAGAGAGAGAGAGAGAGAGAGAGAGACGCAGAAGAGAGAGAGAGAGAGAGAAAGTGCGTGAGTTTCAATCGCGACCGAGCTTAGGATAAGAAAAACTCCAGAATAAGGAAGGGACACGGCTTTGTCCCGCCGCCACTAAATTTTAGCTGTGTTCAGACTTGTGCAGGCCTCTACATCACAAGCGTCCACTGACAGACCACGAGTATCGGGCATCGATCTATATGGGCGAACGCCAGACGCGATCCACGTCTAACGTCCATACGAAAGGGAGGTTTAGAAGCTAAAGCAACACCGTCAACACAGGACCATATAGCAATTCTCTGAAGTCCTGTAAGGCACTGAGGTGGGTGAACCACTCAGGGAAAGGGACAGTCCCCTTTCGCACATATGAGTTCTTACACTATCACGGCTCCTTGCCTCTTACTAGAAATCTTCATTCCCTTACCTACAAACGTCATCGCACCTCCTAGAATGAATCCCCACCCAATACAAAGAAACCGAAGAAAAAAAGCATGGAATTGGAGCTCCTGCATTTCCTGACTTCACAACATGGCGCAAGACATGGAAATAATGCCGAAATATCCTCAACGATATCAAATTGTATCAGAATCCTTCCGATAAGAGAGAAAAGAAACACGGTGGCGCACGGCTGTACGCAATAGCGGAACCGTGCGGGATACTTTCAAGGATGCAATTGTGCTGGTCCTAGACGGATTACGCAGTTAAAGTTGCTTTGGCTGAGTATCCCTTTTTGAGACTGAACTGGGACGAATTTCTTTAATTCTTTAGAAATTTTTCTTTATTAATGGATAAACTCTTAGTTATTCTTTCCTAATCAACCTGTTTCCTGTTTTCGTGAGCCTTTGCTTCGGTAGTTCATGTTGCTGAAGGGTTATTTCTAATTTACAGTGACCATTCTTCAATAAAACTGAAGTAAAAAGGAATAATTAAGGGTTTTGATTTTGGTTGCCCGTTCGCTATTTCGTGGACTTGTGTTTTCCTAATTCCATTTGCATGATACTGATTTCGTTCATTTTGTTCGGTCTAGGTCTTTTTATCTGGTTTTATTAAGGTAAAATGGTGAAGGCCAAGCAAGACCGAAAGGCTCGCAACGCTATTAACGAGGTTGTTACTCGTGAATACACCATACATATGCACAAAAGGATAAAAGGAGTGTGAGTGCTTTTCTTGGGTTCATTTATTGCAAACGGAATAGGTTTTCTCCATATGTTATAATGCAGAGGTTCAAAGAAGCGTGCACCTCGTGCTATCGATGAGATTCGAAAGTTCGCCAAACAGCAAATGAACACAGAAGACGTCCGCATTGACACGAGATTGAACAAATTCGTTTGGTCAAAGGGAATCAAGTGAGTTTTGTTATTAGTTGTCGGTGGAATTTCTTTTTTAGTTTCTATAAAACATTATTTATATTTTTCTTTGATACACCTTCTGTTATCCTTTCAAGTTGTTAAGAAATGAGTTTTTCCAACGCGATAGCGAGGTTCTTCTCCTGAGCAGCTGTGTGCGTTCATATTTTGCACCAACGTTTTGTGCGTCATTCACGGCAGCATTTTCAGCTGTTGGAAAAGTATAGGCAACAATCTAGAGCTTTGAGCATGCTCCACGGTTTCAGCCACTTGGAACTTAGTTGTCGAGTGATCGGTCGTTACTTACTCGTTACTCTTCCGTACGCTCAAAGCGCTGGCGCAATGATGGACAACTCGATGCTCCCTGTTCCAATGCTGCCCACCCATATGGCGCTAAGTCCTCTTTCTGCAGAAAACCGAAATTCTAAAAAGTAATCCCATGAGGCACTGATACTAAAGGGGCTGCGAAGATCCCTCATTATTTATTTTGGTTATGTCGAAACATTTAGACTTTTCTCTGGAATGAATTTTGTCGTGGAATTTTTCAAGATTAGGTCGCATGTTTCCATTTGTTTTCGCTCAGCTGCTTGATGGTGTGCTTTCCATGAAAGCAATGAGGGTGTTAGTGATACAGTTGGCGCGAGCCTGGTGTTGGTCCCTTGTGCCACGTCCTTGTCACAAGTCTTTTCTTGACCTCAGCCCCTTTGCAGCACACCATGTCGCCGGACTTTTCTTCAAGCATCGGATTATTGATTGGTAGGGTGAGATTCGCTGTTAACAAAACCTAATGTGGTGGTTTGAAGTAGTCGGCGCTGCTCCACACAAGCTGCTTCAATGAGGCCGCGTTCAGAC